TGTAGGTCCATGTTATTGTGCCCTTCGATGTAAATTTTGTTTTGGATCACAAGGTCTAGAAACAAGAGAGCTATAAGTAGGTTTCTATTGTTTCTTGTAGGTCCATGTTATTGTGCCCTTCGATGTAAATTTTGTTTTGGATCACAAGGTCTAGAAACAAGAGAGCTATAAGTAGGTTTCTATTGTTTCTTGTAGGTCCATGTTATTGTGCCCTTCGATGTAAATTTTGTTTTGGATCACAAGGTCTAGAAACAAGAGAGCTATAAGTAGGTTTCTATTGTTTCTTGTAGGTCCATGTTATTGTGCCCTTCGATGTAAATTTTGTTTTGGATCACAAGGTCTAGAAACAAGAGAGCTATAAGTAGATTTCTATTGCTATTTTTTGTTGATCTATATTACTGTGCCCTCCAATATAAATTTTGTTTTGGATCACAAGGTCTAGAAACAAGAGAGCTACAAGTAGATTTCTATTGCTGTTTTTTGTAAGTCTATATTATCGTGCCCTTCAATGTAAATTTTGTTTTGGATCACAAGGTCTAGAAACAAGAGAGCTACAAGTAGATTTCTATTGCTGTTTTTTGTAAGTCTATATTATCGTGCCCTTCGATGTAAATTTTGTTTTGGATCGCAAGGTTTAGAAACAAGAGAGCTGTAAGTAGATTTCTATTGCTATTTTTTGTTGATCTATATTACTGTGCCCTCCAATATAAATTTTGTTTTGGATCACAAGGTCTAGAAACAAGAGAGCTATAAGTAGGTTTCTATTGCTGTTTCTTGTAGGTCCATGTTATTGTGCCCTTCAATGTAAATTTTATTTTGGATCACAAGGTCTAGAAACAAGAGAGCTGTAAGTAGATTTCTATTGCTATTTTTTGTTGATCCATATTATCGTGCCCTCCAATATAAATTGTGTTTTGGATTACAAGGTCTAAAAACAAGAGAGCTACAAGTAGATTTCTATTGCTGTTTCTTGTTGATCCATATTATTGTGCCTTTCAATGTAAATTTTGTTTTGGATCACAAGGTCTAGAAACAAGAGAGCTACAAGTAGATTTCTATTGCTGTTTTTTGTAAGTCTATATCATCGTGCCCTTCGATGTAAATTTTGTTTTGGATCGCAAGGTCTAGAAACAAGAGAGCTCTAAGTAGATTTCTATTGCTGTTTTTTGTAGCCTTCAGCTAGAGCTACAAGGTTAACCTTTTGGTAATGTCCTTTGCCATAAATGTATGAAGGTGCTCTCTATCACTCTTCTTTCTGTTGTATTGTAAACACTGTAAGAATGAGGATCTGGATCAGCATACACTATACCTGTACTTATTTCAATATAGATTTTTCTATTACAAATTCATCTACTCGTTCTTCTATCAGTCAACCTGAACATTTAGCAAGGGCATTGGAGACAATGGAAAGCGTTTCCTTTTTCCAGATCTTTATTTATTAGTGGACCACCTTTAATCTCATCGTTGCGTTTTTTTACACCTTTCCTGAAAAAGATGTATTATCTTTTAATTATACCGTTTAACAATGTCTAATCGAAAAATGCCAGGTACAAGAAACTAGAATCAAGCAATCCTTTTCCTTTTTCTTGCGTGCGTTCGAGCGTTCGCTGTACTGCGAATAGCCAGGCTCATTTTTCTTACTTAGCGTCGCGAGCTCTCATTCCGCGAAATTAACAAATTTATAAACGCTTCGAAACAAAGTCTCTAAACGAAGCATCCTTTATCTCGCTATATCGTAACTTACGAACTTTTTCCGATTAAATTTCCCTTTCCCCAGGTTCATAGTAATCTCTTTCGCGTCTTAATCTAGACGCACAAAGAGGTAGGAGATCGATCGGTTTATAAAATTTGCGAAAACGTTGCGAACAACACCTGGACAATACTCCTCTTCTTTTTTTTTCGCAATATCGTTCCGACTTCAAGGACATCGTTTCGAAGACTTCGATGGAACACACAACTCGCATAATCTCCGATAAGTTCATCTTTGCCGGATTTCTCTAACAATCATCCAACAAGGTACAATTGTTTCATTTTTCCAATGCAATGAATATTTTACTCTTGCTGTGTATCAGATGAAAAGTACAAAAGTTACCGTTTTCAATGCTTACGTATCAGCATGCGACTATAATATCAGATTAAAATCTCATCGATAATAAACTTGGAGGATCAAAAATGTTTATAATACGCTCATCGACATCTCGAAGATACTATTTCTGTTTCCTTTTCACGTGTCGTTTCGCGTTATACAAACCCATGATTCACCTCTTGGACAGAATCAACCTTACCAATATCGTTTCTAAGATTTCGACGGAACTCAGGCTGCACGTTTCCGGTAGGTCTATCTTAGGTGGATTTCTGTGATAGTCGCGTCCCGCAGGGACGAGAAAATAAATAAATGACGAGCGATTCCCGTGAGCCTGGTGAGCCGGCAAGAAGGAGCGGTTTCGGTGTAGATAGCGCGAGAATTATGGTTCCTCACGGGGGCTGTGATGAAGGTAGGCGGCAGCAGGGGTGCGCGGGGCAATTTTAAGCCATCCTCTCGGTTTCTGGCCTTATAACTCTGTAATTTTTACCCTCGGAAAAGTTAAGAGTAATTTACTGGCTCCACGTAGGCGTTATTCGACTCGACCTACTCCTCCGTGTACGCCTCCTATGCTGCCCCGTGAAATAGCTACATCGAAGATCCCTGGCCCTTGTTAATTGTCTGCCGTGGATGAGCTTGATCTTCCCGCGAAACTGCTAACCGGCAGGCTTCAGATAAATGTTAGTAATATCGTTACGAAAATAGGTAGTTACTTCTTTTCGGAGCCACGGGTAGACGTCCCCTGGGGTCTCATCCCCCAACTCGTTGAATCGTCCTTTCTTTGTTTGTCGGTAATAATGGGCGAAAGAACTTGGAAACGAGCTGATGAAAACGAGTTTCTCTTGTACGAACAATGGGTCGAAACAAACGGAAGTGGTTGTATTATAGAAATTAAACTCCATATATCTTGTACGTATCGTACGTATTAACGTTGAGGAATTTGATATTCATGAAAATTGCATTAGGTACATGTACGTTGACATTTCTTTAACGTTGACATTTCAGACCTCCGAAACGATATGACTCCCTTGCAGATTCGTTGACAACGTTCTTCTCTAAACGTAATGTACGATGAAATAAAATATTATCCGCGGACCATTGTCTCGTAGAGATAGCTTTTAATAATTAAAGAATTTATTTACTTAGAATAAGCACGAAGTTGCTTGTAGAACCAATCGGATAGCAATTAAATACATTTCTATTCCCTGTTTTCCTCGGTTTAGCTAGAAACTTCTAGTTCGTACGATTATCCTGTCAGCATAGAAACGCAAATTGAAGCAACCGAAGGTACTCGCAAGATGGTCGATCACGAGCAATTCGAGATATTGCGGGATGGTGTGTACGTGTTCGAGAATGCTACTGATCTGTGTGTACTCGACGGAGAAACGGGCCACGAAGGGACCAGCATGCATCGAATCCCGGTAGCATTATTTAGCCGGGAAAAGTGCTGCCGACGCCATTAATCCGATTGGACGAACCTTCACCCTTAGGCCTTAGGGATCCATTATGTATTAGGAGGATCGGCTTGCTCAGTAGCCGGTAAGATTAAAGTTGGAACGGGCAAGGAAATGCGCTGCTTCAACACCGAAAATCCCGAACATAATTTCCCCCGGTAGAGATTTTAATCCTTTAAGAAAATAAGGAATCTCGGTAGCCACGTAGCGACTTTGTGCATCCATATATTTGTATAAATTATGGGCAGAAATTTTGATGGTAGAGAATCGCAATAATTAGGAGAATAAATCGCGTGAATTTTGTTCATCGAATAAAATTTCTACGCTTAGAATTATGTTATGTTATAAGGATAATAATACGTATAATTCGTTGAGAAAGGGAAGATTTCTTGAATGCGACAGATTCGACAACTACGTTTACGAAATTAACATTCTTCCTTTTTTTTCAATTTTCATGGACTAACTAACTTTAGAACGAAGATAACGTTAGAATGGAATACACTTCTGTGTCCAAAGTCGCACTTCTTCAGCTTCTGTTCGCTCCTTAAAAAGTTGATATTTCGTGGACACGCGAGGGTGGAAAGCTGTTTCGTGGATATTTCACGAGGCAAATGCCGTGACTTATTTCACGGCACGAAAGAAGCAAACGAACGTGAATTTCTGGTGGGCCGACATTCTTTCTTTCCTACTGCTTCTCTACGTTGAAACCTTTTCGTGGTAAAAGCAAAGGAACGCACGCCTGCTTGCGCAACCACGTCTTTTTGAGGTTTCGTCTCTATTAGCATGATTGTAACTGCGTATCGAGTTGCCTGGTTTTCGTGCTCCGTTCTCACCCTACCGACTCTACGAAGCGATAATTTGGCAATTTATTTAAACACGTTTGTTGCAAACATAAAATGTTAGAAATATCTATCGAAATATGTGCCGGTTGATTGAAATTTTGTCTCTTTAAATTTAACATCTCCTTTCGATTCTACCTGCAAATTGTTCTGTGTAAAAACGACGTTGACTATTTTTGGTCGCTACGTGGGAAGAATGTGGCGCGATCAAAGGTTAAACGAAGCGTGCTGGAGGAAAGAAAACTTTAAAAAATAAGAAAGCCCAAGTATGGAATAATGAAAAATAGAGTGATTCTCAAACACCGCGTTCAAACGTGCCGCACCGACAAGAACCATTGGCAAGGAAATGACCGTGAAGCTAGGCACGTTGGTCGAAGGAAACCGCGTGGTTTCTTCGCGAAAGTAATTTGTCTGCTTTTCATTCCCTTTCCGTTTGCTCACGACGAACCTCTGTCCCTGAAAACCTTTCTATCGACGGAAATATTTATATAACCGTTAGAAATTACCACTAACATTTACACCGTGAAATTTATTTACAAAGTTACTAAATCTTCGCTATCGAATTGGAATTATTAGGAGGAGGAATTTCAATGATACACATGAGAATCATTATATCAACGCAGATATTGTAAATATCATTTATTGGACTTTTAGGCGTCATGGGGTACAACGATTACATCACGTTGCTTATTTATAACACCTAAGCAATTCGATAAAAATGAAAAGAAAGAAGAACTACGGGGAGACGTTTTTCGTTCGTTCGGGTAAAAATCGTCGAGAAATGAAAATGCCGACTTCCGTGCGGATTAGGCGTGAACGGATGAATGAAGCTATAAACGCATCGCAGCCGGCACGCGTTGACAAAAATTAGGAACCACTTTTCTTCCGTTCTTCTTTTTCTTTTCTTCTTTTTTTTTTCTTCTTCTTCTTCTTTCAGAGGAACTGGAACGATCGAAACGAGACGCTACGTTCACTTCTTATCTAGCAATCGCGGAGAGATAAAAAACGAATAATCGCGAAAGACAACGATGTTACATACGTTCGTGTTAATTTGCGTGTTTTTCATTTTTCGTTTCGTTTGCTTTTTCTTTACTACCGCAGTACAATCACCGTACAACCATCGAAAAACGTATAATCTAGGACGTTGATCCTAGGGAATAAGGAGGAGTTTCGTTTGATTTATTCAACGTTATGATTCTGTGTTTGAATTGAAATCGTCATCATCGTCGTCGTCATTATCGTCACACTTTTTTCACGGCCACTCTCGATTGAAAACTAACCATCGATCGGTACACGACATCCAGGGGGAAGGCGAACGAGAACTTATGGCTAAATAAAACTTTATAAAAATATATCAACGAATAATAAATATATCTCTAACAGCGTCACTGTATAATTCGTCATGCATAGCCCTCGGTGTACGATAGCCTATGCATTTACAATCACTATATACACGCTATTTTTTTTTTTTTATTTCTTTTAATGCTACTTACCTAAAATAATATACAACAATGTATCTTTTTCCTTAATGTTCCTATTTTCTTTTTTTTTTTTTACGGAATATTTCTTGTTTCGTTTCTTGCGTTTAATTCAATTCGTTACTTCGTTTTCTTATCCATACACGTAATTAATCTCATCATTTTCTTGCTTCTTCGACTCGACTTTCGCCGAGTTGTTTTCTTTGGTTCGTGTTACGCCCTAACAATTACATTTGAACGAACAGTAATCATTTTCTATACTTCGACCACGTTCAGCCGTCGACGTTCTGCGAACCCGAATGTAAAAATTGGTCTCTTGTTCAACGCGTGTACACCTCTGCCTTCATTGCACTCTTTTATCGTTTATCTTTTTCTTTCGTCCTCTCTCATTCTCGCATGCCATCCGCTTTCTTTACAAATAAACTATACAAATATTTACACGTGCCCTCCGTAACGCATAATCTCGTCGAATATTCCATTTTATTAAGCTTAATCGAGAAAATCGCCGCGGGTTACGATTCTCGTGGTCGAAATCTCGCGACAATTTAGTTTACAAAGTTTTCCCCTACGCGATAACCGTATCCTCTTTCGAATTACTTTGGCCGCGCCGTTTCTCCGTTTAAGGCCAGAGAAACACATTGGCTACGTCGCGGTCGTAGATTCGAATCGCAGACTTCGAGGTATCGAACGCACGTACGAAACTGTGGACTGTGCTTCTTAATTCCACTTCGGAATGGAAATTTTTTTCCTTCTTTCCCTTCTTTTTTTTTTCTCTCTAATAAAGAAGAAAGGAGAAAAGAAGAAGAAAAAAAAAGGAAAATAAATCTATAATGTACGGTCGAAGTTACGTCGATTCGATTTGTCAATCCCAACCGTCGTTTATCATCTAGAAAACCCTACGACAAGAACGCGGAGAAAAAGAAGACAAGAGAGAGAAAAAAGAGAATACGAAAAGAATAAAAAAATATGGAAAAAGAAAAAGAACGAATGTAGCAACGAGATCCATGATTAAGGAACGTCGAGGCCGGATTATCGTCGTCGCCGGAAGCTCTGCATCGTTCATCGACAACGACAGCGTCGATAAAAGGCTTTCTCGTTTAAGCGTGTTCACCCTTTCGATACATAATAAACAGGGTTTTCTCGTTGCATCGTCATCGAGTCTCGCCTTGAGTCTAGAACACGCTAATACAAAACGTTGCTCCGTATTCTTATCTGAAACGATGTATCCCATTCATCTTGCTCGCTCATTCTCTCCTTTGTAATTTATATATTTTCTATTTACAATCGTCGAAGATGGCGGAAATACTGACGGAACTTTGACTTCCTTCCCCCTTATTCTTATCGTCTAATCAGGGAAGCTGATGTACAATTTTTTGTTCGAGTTCAGAGGCCACTCCCTTGACTCTTCGCGAGCAAACGGTATCGACGTACTCCCAGCGATGTCTCAGCGGCGATGCTCCTGCAGAATGACCAGGGCCAGACACATCGAAAGGTAAGTGAGACTCGCTGACCGGAAGTGAGCGTGACTGTACTCGGAGGCGCGCGTCACGTTCAACAAAACGGAAGCGTCCGAGATCCCTTCCGACGAGCGAACCAGCACAAACCATTCGCCGGCGTGAGACCATTGAATCGTGTCGAAGCTCAGCACCGTTCTGTAACAGGACTCCGTGCCACCGTCCTGAAAGGCAAACAACGAGAAACGTGCGTCGTTAATGAATTCGATACCGGTGTTCCTGGAGTTTGTCAAGTATTCGTGACCTGATTCGTGCGATGGTTTTAAAGGGTTCGCTAGCAACCACCGAGGGTTATAAAGGATAATTTATCTGGATGGAGTTGCGGACGATCGTTGCTACTGGCAAGTTTTCGAGAGGGGAAAGTTGATAGCGGAATGGGTCAAGGGTAGTTCGAGATTTTCCATTTTTCCCCCAATAAGAACCGCCACTGGCTTCTTTTTTATGGAGATACGTAGGCTAGGAGAGAAATTTCTTACTGCTTTTTTTGTGGAAAAATGGAATGGCAGAAGATGGAAGAGAAATTACGTTGCATTCAAACAGACTATCGTCTGTCCGATGAAACGGCGATTAAATGCAATTGTTCGTGACAATGTTTGAACGTTCGTCTTTCACGAATATACCGTGCGTGTTATGCAAACTTTCGAATATTTTCGCGAACCATATTGCGTATGTAACAATGACATAAAGGTAATACGTGCGATTAGGATGTAAGAATTTGCTTGTGTTAATTTAAAGAGATAGAGTTTTTTCAGGATTCTCGTGCCCTTATAGTTCGATCGCGTCCTTATAGTTGGATATAATTGTTAAAGTAAAATAAAGTCAGAGCGTAACATCTTGAAGCAAAGACGAAATCGATGCAAACGCAAATTGAGATAAGAAGTTGATATTCGAACAAGAGTTTCGGAGTCGTTCGATTTCCCGACCTTTTTATCACTCGGCGTTCATTAACTTGCAATTCGATAAAGTCGATCCTACGACCGTATTTCTTATCTGCCGCGATTCTGTTTAGCTACTCGAGATTAAACTTTCGCGCGCAACTTCCACGAAAAAGCGAAAACTTCCTACATCGTGCCACGTTCTCGCTTCAATTGCCCGTATCACTTCCGATTTCCATCGTTTTATCTTCCTTCTCTCCAACTTATATACCTCCTTAAGCTTCTTCTTTTTTTCCCCAGCACAGTTCCTCTTCTTTCATTCCTTCGGCTTTTTGTACGTCGCCGATAGAATCGATCGAATTAAATCGGCACGGTTTCGAGCGGTTGATCGATAGAGACGCGAAGAACAACGGAGCCGAAAATAAAATTGAGCAACGCAAAATGTCAACCGGCGAGAAATAAAAATGACGCCTTTTATCGGATTAACTGCAACGCGTTACTGCGAGTTCCATTATCGCGTAATACAAAATGAGGCACGCGTCAAACGATTGCCCTGTTTTATTCAATCACGTTAATTACTCTGATTATTTTTGCACGCGTTCAATCAACGGAAAAACAGACGGCTGATCGAACGTACCGATGTTAAGTTGCTCGTAATCCTTTTACGGGCAAGCAAAAAGGGAACCGTATCAGAAATAAACGTACGAAACGGCATAAAAGAAACGCGTATCTTGGAAATGATATTTAAGCTCGTACAACGAAATTAAATCCACGGAATCCCACGTAGAATCGCGTGGAACACGAAAAAAGGTATAATTATATTGCACGATGTTCCCTTTATCAATTCGTGTCCTTTCCGTTTGGTAAAGTACGTGCAACGAAGAAATACGTTTCCGTAATTGAATCGGATTCCGCTTGTCTCGGGGGTAACTTCTCTCGCAATTCGAACCAGACGTCGTCGTTCGTAGTCTCGCGAATTTTTTGCGTGCAACCAGTCGCAGTTTCTTGCTCCATTTAACTTTGCGTTTCATCCTCGTCCTTTCTCAGTTTCACCAACCTACCACCGATCGCCATCCCAGACTCCTTGTGCTCTTTATTCTTCAGCTTTGCTCCTCTCCGTTGCCATTCTTTGCCCTTAGCTTTTTCTTCTTTGTGTCGTTTCCCGAGATGAGTCCACGTCGATGTTTTACGCGATTTGTGTGTACCCTTTGTCGAATTTGAACGACGTACGATAAATTAAGTGCATTCGGTACATTCAGTTTCGATTTTATCGATGTCATTTTCATTTCTCGATGTGTATATGTCGAGGTTATTCGATGTGTAAACAGAGAAACTCGTGGATAAATTGTAAGGTAGAAAATATATTTAAACAGAAGCGTAATTGATAAGTAAGAATACAATTTGAGCTGGTCCAGATCCGCACGCTAGCTGTGTTACCCAACAACTGAAAACCCCGAAGCCAACGTCTCCTGTCTACTGTTTATGGTCTGTGTTCGTCTTTTGTCTACACGATGGCTAAAAAGACCAGATGTAGAGTTTTCTTAGAAATGGTGACCACTTCAACGGTATACGTGTGTTATTTCGTCGTGATCGAAGACTTCTATCACGAATGAAATTCCATAATTTTGTTAACTTATAGATATTATTAATATTTTCTCATAACTCTATATTACACGGCAAAAGCACAAGAGAGCTATCGTTTGGGAATTCCGGAAAAATAGTTTTCGAGGATCAGAAATATCCGGAATACGCTCGTCAGCATCAAATCCAGCGAACAGCGCTCCATTCGGCACTTTTATTCTTCGTTGAAAACCGTATTCGCTGTAAACGATCGGAGATGCGAGAACAAGGTGGCAATACCGGGACCCTTTTATCTCGTATCGGCGTGGAAAACTTCTTTTCCCGGTGCTTGATGTACAAACAGCGTTCGACCGGAAACGGTGTCGCTTGCCTTCGTACGACGTCCTCCAGCGTTTCCCTCTCTGTCCAACTGATTCGTCGGTCGTGTGCAAAGAGTGCAAACACACGGAGGCGTCGCGACTCGTCGTTTCTGCGTCGCGTCGTGCTACGAGTTTGTTCCTTTTGTTCGTCGTGGAGGGTCGATCCACGGGAAATTTCATCGAAACTTTCGCCCAGCAACTCAAAGCGAAATTTCTGCGGCATTCGTCGAAAGCACGACTGATAGTAGTTAGTACGTGATTTATCTGTCTATCTCTCTGACCATCCTCTTCTCTATATCTCTTGTTATCCACGGCTGCAGTAGCGGGTAATTAATTCGTGGAATTGCAGCTGCCCGACCAGGGTTACGGAGGGACCACGTTGCAACGTGCAAGCGGAGAACGACGAAACTGAAAACGGGTGCACGTGTTGCGGTGAACGTAGTTATTTCGACCTAGATTCTGTTTTGAATACCTCGCACTGTGTCGATACCGGCTACCAACAATCCCAGTGTACTTGCGCCGACGAAGAATTAATAAGCTATCCCCTCTGGCGTGGTCCGCGTGCTACGTAATCACGTCGAGAAAGGAAGAAATTTCATATCGCATGCAGCAGCCTGACCGACGCGGTGTGCTCGTTCAAATAAATTGGAAAACACGTTAGCGAAATTTTTATGGCTGCTCCGTTACGCAGTTTACCTCGAATCGCTTCTTTTTATGAATCAGCTCTTCTCTATGAAATTAACGTATTACGAAACGATCTCGCAGCTTTATCGCTGGCTGTACTAAAGCGATCCTAAAGCGATCAAAATCGTTGTATTATGCATATAATATATCGGAAATATATCAGAGTTAAACGTTTTCCTTTGTAACAGAGAAAGAAGGATACGAGTTGTGATTTGGAAAAGCTGCTTCTTTCTTTCGAGAAAATTGTATCTTTATCGATAATGCGCGATATTTTCTAAGTAATTAACGAACGCGACAGAAACTAGAATTTAGCGTTTCGCGAGAAACATAACGATTTAAGCCTTCCTTCATATAGGATAGGAAATATGTTTCAGTTTTCAAATCGTCGTCTGTTTTCCAGGCAAACGGAGGAAAGCCATGATTAATCCCTCTTGGAGGAAACGATATTATAGTCGAACGCAGCACGGAACGACTGTTCGAGCGTAGACGAAGATCTCGTGCATGTCTCAAGAAGTGGAATAATGCAGGAACAAGCGAAACGGCAGGAGAGCTTAAACGCTTTAAAGGAAACTCCCTTCCTTCTTGCCTCTCTCTCTCTCTCTCTCTCTCTCTCTCTCTCTATTTTAACGAATGATCCCTCGCGATGAAATTTCTTCCGATAAAGGAGGCGAAGAAACGAAAAGATCGACGACGAAATTAACAAAGATGATCGTTTCCTTCTTCTTTTTCTTTTCTCCACTCGTTCAACGAATTAAGAACATTGGCGCGTGGGACAAAAAGGATTAAAAGTTAGTAAAAACAAACGTAACACACGTGCATTAGTAAATCCCTTTAAAGCTATGCCAGATTCCAGATTCTTTCCTCTCCTCTCCTCTCTTCTGCTCTCCACTTTCTGCACCAGCTACCGATCTCTCTTTCTCTGTTCTCGGTTCCATGCGCTTCACCGTTATTCCTGATTCCTCGGAAAAACAGTTAATCCATCTTTTGTACGGAGTATCTAGACTCTGTCTGTCGGTGAAAAATAAAACGAAAAGAGAGAGAGAGAGAGAACGAAAGATCGAAAAAGGAGAAGAAAGGCGTGCAACGACGTCGCGCGGAAATGAAATAAGCGCCGGCACCACGTATGAATCCGGTATCCCGTTTCATTCTTTCGTTCTCTCATATTTTCACGGTATGCAACAAGCGTTCACTGTCTCACGGCTTCTCTCTCCTTTTATTCCCACCCTTTTGTCCCCTTTCTACCTATTTCGCCGAGAAGAAATCACGTTTCGGCCGGTTCTCGTTCGTCGTCCGCGATAAAAATATAATTCTCGCGTCCCGAGAGCTGCGAATTCCTTGTTATTCCCGTTTGTTGGTGTTATTGTTGGGAAAGCAGGAATTGTCTGGTTGCCGAGGCTCGCGGACTATCTTCAAAGTTAAATTGCACCGGATGCTCCTTCGTTGACCCGGTTGAAAAGCGAGCCTCGCTTCCTGGTGATCGTCGTTGCGAGAATTCTTGCATTCTCGAACGCGAATCGAGATATTTTCCCGTCGTGTAAAACCAGTCATTTCTGGTTCGGATGAATCCTCCCTCTTCGTTTTACTTGTTTCGAGGATCGAAACGCTGTTTCGCGGGAACAACGCGGCGAGTCAGACAACTGGAAGTTGGTTTAGCGAGCTGAGTATTTAGTTTGAAAAATCGCTATTTGTTCGTTTTCCTGCGCTGTTAGTAGATTTATTAACAAAACCACGTAGGCAACGTTCGATAACGGATTAAAGGATTTACATACTGGAATTAAAGATTCCGCGTGAGATTATGGAAAAAGTAGATGGTTGGAAATACGTAAGGGTGCGGGGTGTACGGGGAAACGAAGAATTCTGAAATGGAAAGCAAGAACGAGGAGAAGGGTTGCGAGGAATAAAATCTTTAAATAAGAACTAGAAGTCAAGCAGATGTATGAAAAAAAAAAAAAAGATTTGCAAATACAAACTGGGAATTACGACAGAACTCGCGACAGAAAGGATTTATCAAGGGGTTTGCAACTATGTCGGCTTGAAAAAATCGAAAAAATCATTTTTTTAAAACTTGACACGCGTAGAATATTGCGGTGAAAGAGTATTTTGAAATTCTAAAAAATAGCGGAGTTATAACTCCGAATACGAGTGCATCCTCTTATTTTAAAGACAGATTAACTTAAAACTTTAAACGCATTTTTCACGAAACTATGTTTTTCGACCTTGCGTTTAGTAGACCTCCGAAACTCTTCATCCGATTAACTTGCAATTTCTGTATATTGCACCGCGTACAACGACGCGGTACAATGTACGTTTGATATTACAATCCGTTGAATTTGCATAAACGTTCAGAGTTGATTTCTTTCAAGGAAAAATACAATTTGATCTTCAAAAAGCCGGCAGTTTCTTATTTTTCGAAATTGTAGAAAAATCGTACGCTACATCCGAAGATAATCTACTTCTGTATAAGATGGCGCAACAATTTTTTCATTTTTACAATCGAGTTACGTTTGCCGTTGGCCGCAAGCAAACAACGTTCCGCTGGATATGAAGTCACATAACGTTGTACCACGCCGTCATTTTATAATTTTACGTAATAAAAAAAGTACGAACGCAGAGCTAACACGCTGCTTAAAGTTTGCTATAAAAATCTTGATTCTTTATCGAATACTTGTAGGCGAAAAAAAACTATCAGATTTACCTTATTCTTTTTTTAGATCTCCGGGGTTGCATACTCCCTTCCAGCGAATTAATAAAAACGCGCGTGAAATTGATTTACGAAACAAATAATCTACGAACAGAAGCAGTAACGAGAAATACTAATAATTTCCATCTTCAATTTTCCACGTACAAAAAGACTGAACAAAAATTAACTGAATCCACAACGAACAAAAATTAAGAAACATATTCGAATGCGGAGGAAATGATCCACCATGCGTCAACGATATTATCATCTTCGATGTACTTTTCCACGTAAAACCAAATCGAGTGAAAAATTGCGTGAATCCGCGATCGAGAAACGTACCTCGATAGCGAGCGCTTGAACACCATCCCTGGCCTCTGTACCAGGTACGTAAACGCTTTCCTCGGACATCCAAAGCACCTTGGTGTATCTCGGCTCTGCGCAAAATTCGACGACGATGTTGAGCGATTCGCCCTCTTTGGCCGTGACTGTTTGACTAGGTGGATGAACCATGGGTCGACCTGCAACAAAAATTCGCAAACAATTCCGTTATCCGTGAGGTCATGGCAGCGTATACGCGTTTCTTTCGTCGGTCGTAAATCCACCCTTCGGTTCCGCCAGCGTAACCTAACCCCTCTTATCTTCTCTCTCTTTCTTGCTTTCATTCTCTATGGAGCTTGCACAGAGCTTTATGTCTTGTTAACTGCGAAAATATCTCAGCATGTAGCTAAACGACGTAATCTTCCGTAATTCCTGTTAAATTATGTTGTCGTCGCCGCGTGTTCGGCGCGCCACCGTCATGTTTCTATCTTAAGTGGAACTTCATTAAGGTGATCGAACGAAACGGTGGGCACGCTGAAACATCGTAGCGTAGGATAACGGAGTTAGGCGAACGTAGTAACATAGCGAATTTAGTGGAAAATGAAAATATCGATATGGCTGTTGGAAATCCTTTTTAACGCGTATTTATTCCGCGAAGGTATTTCCAGCTTCCCCTATAACACGTTCGGTCGGCGAATTGTCAGACAATCGATATTTTACGTTTACGCGGCTGGTTATTAAAACAAGTGTTGGAACGCTGTGCATGAAGTCTGGCCACGCACAATATCGCGCGTAGTCGAATTTGCTTCTCGCCGGTTAATTTATTCCGCTTGGCAATCATGTCACAATGGCTGTTACAAACAATGAAAAGGTTGATATGTTTATCAAGTTTATACGCCGCTTTAATCACTGACTGTTGCAGTAATTTATCGCGGCAAGTATTCTCGTCCAGTGTAATCGATATCAAACGCACACATCCACCGTCTCTTCTATAAGATACCATTCGTGACTAACCAACTACAAATTTTACAAATTTCCAAGCCTTTAACATTTTATTTCATTTTAATGTAATTCTGGTTTAATTTAAAAAATGCACCTTCTCGTTTCGCCAATGGCTTTCCGAATTATGTCAGGCGTCCGTTAAACGACGTATGTGACCAGACGAAATAAACCATCCTTTACATTTCCATACCTCCATTCTTTATCCATTTGATGAGACATCGGTGTCAGTTGCGCACGAAATTCGCTAAACGACCAACGGCGTCTACCGCGCCTTTATATTCTCCTATTATTATTTATGGCCGTTTTTCCATGTTTACGAGCCGGATCGGATCGAAACATCGGCTTTTCCGCGTCGATTCGCGGTAACGCCCGCGACGCTTTTGATTTACTCGTTTCCACGAGTTTCACCGGTCCCTGCGCAAACACGGCCTCCAGCCATCGAAACTAGACATTTACAGCGCGACAATGCGGCCGCAACCTATAGCGACTCGTTGCACCAAGAGAAAGATAGACGCAAAGCGAGCAGATAGAGAGAATCGTAGCCGTGACTTCTCGATTTCAAAGCCTTAAGGCGATCGTGATTTCCGGGACAGTTTCGCTATCTAGCCTCGTCAAAGTATCCCGATCCCTAGAGGCACCTGCTGGAAACGTGGCCCAACGTTTGCAGAAAGGAAATACATTTGGAAATCATGAATCAATATGACCACGTTTCGGGTACCGGCATTCAACGCCAATCGTTGTTTCGTGTTTCAATTTGTTGTCCGACACACTTACACGTATCTTCGCTTCGCGACTAAAATAAAAGTTTGTGCGAGAATCGAGTGATTTTCGAGACAGCGTTACGATACGGAAAACGCGATACACGTAAGTAGTTGTTCCGTTTAGGAATCGCGAGAAGAAAGACGAACGAAGACTATGAGATCCCTACAGCAGAGTTTTCAGCAATATTGTTCTATCGCCGTTTGTGCTTGCGACAGGTACGCGGAAAATGTTACGTCGGTGTAAAAAGCGCAGAGTATCGAACGTAAGAAAAAGGCGAGAGAGAATAACCTGGATTTTAAGCCCGGTAGATCTCCGTTTTAGAAGCCATCGCACCGGATGACGAAAACAATTCATACAACCGAAGTTCACGTAATAATAGAAATGCATCGACTCTCCCGTTATCTATGATTTTTCGTTCGAATAATAGGACTTGCTATTTCAGATAACGGGATTCAATCTACAGGAGTTCGTTTAATCGAGCTCCGATTAGAATTTCGTTCCAGTAAACCGAACGCTCGAGTCGTCCAGATATTCGAATTACATACTATACGAACCTTTAAATATTCCCTAACGTTCCTTCTCGCGATTATCATAAGGTTCACCTTTCGAAAAATCTTCTTCCAGAGAATGGAAACCCTATTCGGTTACAATTTCCACGCGTTCACTAGCTTGTTAGCAACTGCGGGTCCTCCACAGAGATCCAACGACCGAATCCAATAATCTCTAAAGGAGCAAACTTTTCGGTTTTACTCGAACGCTCTCCATTCACGGTGTCTTATCGAAACGATCGACGTAGGAGAGACACTAGCCACGACCAGCGGCTGTGCTCGATGTCGTGGCAGCAGCTTTGTTGCTGCACTTTGGCTAATTGAAGCGTGGATGCCGGCCGGTTGGCCAAGACGAGCTCGTCTCTTTCGCTCTTTCGCCACCAATCCCCTCTTCTCACTCGTCCCCTTTCTGCCCCCCGCCGCTCCTTTTAGCCGTTCTCATCTGCATGGATTTCCTGCTTCGTAAAGCAAGCTTTCTGACCCTGGTTGGCCTATCTGCAACGGTGAATAGAAGCGGAACAGTACACTCGGCCGTGGCTGCTCATGAATATTCCTACGACTGAAATTACTGGAATACCTTGGCTGCGCCTCTTGTTTCTGCGGGGAGGGTGAAAGCAGTCGGCCGTCTGTCCGACCGACTGTCTGTCTGTCTGTCTGTCTGTCTTCTCTGCCTGTCTCACCTGCGTACCGTTTCAATACCTGCGTTCCACGTTCGATACGCTGCAAACTTTTCGATACGTCCGCGAGTCGGGATTCGACGTGTCTTTCTTCTTCTCGGTTCTTTTTCTTCGTTTCCTTCGATATGGATTGATCGATACACGGGAGTCGTTGAATAGAGCAGTTGTTGTAATTGATAGTGCGTTTCGGATGGTCTTCGAACAATTGCTTTCGGTCATATGTTGATCGGATATTGAAAAGTTTGTTCTCGTTGACCCGTCAGAGTTGCCGCGGTTTCAGATTTCAGGTGGAAAGTTCGTTTAAACACGCGCCACAACGGAACTTTAACGCTGTGTGATGGGCAATGAGTTTCGGGCGTTAGAAATACGCGGGAGGATATAGCAGAGACGAAATTAGAGCGCGAAAGACGAGCGTTCGATCGGTTGAAGTTTTTCGACGTCCTGGGAATGCTTGTGTTTTATATTGCAGTTGAGTCGCTTTGCGCGTCGTTGGGTTGTTAAATCGCCAACGTGGCACGTAAAAAGCCGGAAAATGTAATAAATAGATTGCAGATATTTACGAATTTATGGGAGATTTAAATACGCTGGAATGTACCGAACGTATGTAATATGCAGAAATATGAAATACCCAAAGTGGAGTACTCGTTATAATATTTAAAAGGTGAAACAAATCCCCGTTTTAGTTCTGTCGACAAACATATAAATTTGCATAAACATCGCAGAGTGCAATAATAAATAAATTGAATTATTATTCGCAAACGTATACCGTACTTATTCGATAACAGTTTAACCAAATGGTTTTGAATGGTAAAATCATGCCATTTTTTTCACCTTTATTCTCCTATGCCGATTCCATTCGTTGTGCCACGGTGCAACGGTTTATTCGTTTGTTAGCTACCACTCGGCTCCATTTGCCGCGAGCGCGTGTTCAATTATACAAATGAAATAACCGGCCGATAGTTTCTGAACTTCAGCTTGACGGAACAAAGCTGGCTTAATTCCGCCATTAATTCTAATTGAAATGATTAATGAAATCAACGACGGTGAGTCGAAAACGCGGCGCGGCATCCGAATGGGATCAGAGCTAATTTCAGGACGATGCTCCAAAGCCCACAAAATGCGGTTTGCGTCGCCAGCTCGAACGTGTTCCGCGAAAATGTAAATGCATTCGCGAAACTGCCATGTAAAATTCCCGTACGGTTCTCCACCCCTTTCGCCTCCAACTTCGCCCTCGCGTTAGCGTTAATCTTCAAATTCGAAATACTCTTCGTTCTACTTCTTTCTCCCTTCTCTCTTCTATTTTTCCCCCTGCGTTGAAAAATTCTTGGATAGTCGCGAACTCGAAGGACGAGTACGTGGTAGAGAGAAAAAAAAAAAAGAAGAAGCTGAAAGAAACCTGCCGGTCGTTTCGGTGAATTTTTTATACGGGCCGCGTCGGCCCGCCAGCGCACGTGACACACATGCGACTCTATGCATTATGCAGAACGTTATTAAGAATGTGAAGAAACTGCAGATCCTTCGTGTTCTAATTATAATTTAAGCTTCTTCCGGCCATGAATAACTCAGCTGCGAGGAATAAATTGAAAGGGAGATGCGGAAGCTCTTTAACTTAAGGATCCTGAATTAAAAACCACGCCGTTGGACACTTTTCCGTGCGTTTCGTGGAACTTCATCGTGAACGGTATCGTTAAATATTTAACAGCTACCGCGTCAAACGATATCTTCGATTTTATCGATGTTTTATCGGTATCCGCGGATCTATTTTGATGGAAAGTTAATTAACGTACCAACGAGAGCCATCGTGCCATTAAGAGGAACGTATTGCAGCAACACGAGGTTAGAATAGATAGAATTCCATTTCCTAAATTATTTAAAAATTATATTCAAGCTAACAATTAATCGAACTCTAGCGTGATTCTTATTCGGTAGAATTCAATTTGTTCGAACTTCTCGAATTCTCATTCTCAATTCTTTCACGACGTCTGTACGACTCGCGCTTCTCAAATTTTCAATCGCTCGCAATGTTATTCGCCGTAATACTTTGTTCACTCGCCGACGAGTTTGTCGTCTATTTTCTCAAAGGTACTCGATCATTTTTTACAACAGTCCCTTTTTCTTACTTCTCACCATAACGAGAATGAAACGACCATCGAGTTGAACGACCTTAGACGCCATGAAATCCTTCGGTTCGTACGGGTCGCTAGACAATGT